TACAAGGGATGGACCAAAAATTCCCAGATTCAGTGGGAAAACTTTGAGGGAAATATGGAGGTTGACAGATATATGATGGGAGCTTTATCCTTTTTGAAATGTTGCCAAATCGTAATGCATGCCAGAAAAGGTTTGAATCAATCATTTTCTGCATAATCAATGGTTTTGAACTATTACATGCCATTACAATTCAGGGCTGGATTACAATCCTAATCATAACCTGCTACAATAAATATTGTTTATTTCCAGTTTTCTTATAAAATGTTTTTTTTTTTTATTCTGCTGATTATCACATATGAGCATGGACACAATTATGAGAGTGTCTACTGTAAGTAGTAGAGTAGGAGTTTGGTCATTTTGATTTTCAGATCAATACATTCTCTAGGGTAATGAGAATACAGTGTGTCTGGAGTGAAAAAAACAGCTTTTCCATTGGTGTTGTGAAAACTTTACGAATAAATTAGTGTCAAATGCTTAGTCGCAGATAGACAGGGTTACTTTACATACCTTATGGATTTGGGGACCTATCCAGGTTCTTGCCATGTACTGTCAGCGGAGATAAGTAGGAATCAACAGGATAAAAGCCAAGCCAAACAATCTGCCTTGATCTATGTTCCTCACATGCAGGAAGCAATTTTTCATTGCTGAACAAACAGGATAACAAATATGAATGGTAAAAACTGGACCTTGTCCAAACAGTGGCAGCATTTTCCCAGTAGTGTGAAAAGCAGTTGAGGTGCTTCCAGCAGCTGGTAGGGATTCCTTTTAGAAGACTCTCGAGGGGGTTGTTTTGAGTATGTCACATTAAGAGAAACCCCCAGGGAACAGCATGTACTCATAGGAGAAATTAAATCTCATGGTTGGCTTTGGAATGCCTCTGTTGCCATCTGGAAGAGAAGACTAGGAGGTCAGGGAATCTTTGCTCTCATTTTTGTTGACAGTTTTGAAAGTTTTTCACAGTCTAGGGCTCTGTCTGTCTGCCTGTCCATCCCTTTATTTCAGTTTTTCTTTTTACATCCTTTAGTTCAAAGCGTGTCGACTATAGATCTATTGACCATAAATTCATAGTAAACCAGTGTTTATTCTGGACTGGGTCATGGGGATTAAAGTCTGATCAAAGTTTCCCAAACTTGTCTTTCCTTCAGTATTTCCAGATGGAGACAAAAGCACTTTGAAGCCATCTAGGAGTTTTAAGCTTGTCCTTAGTAGGCCCTAGGGCCTCCTCTCATTGCATCTTGTAAATACAAGAATTTTATGAATCTGTATCTGACAGGCATGAATACTGTTTGGATTTAATTGGTATATCCCACAAAGTTAATCCTTAAGAACATATTTAGTATATTAGAATACATTAAATCAAATCAATTGGATTGGAATGCAACAGATTACACATTACATTACATACAAAGAAGAAATTGTTTGTGAAATGCCATGTGAAACAGCTTTTTTTTTCAGAACTCATATGAGATACAAATAAAATAGAACAGGATATAAAGTATTATTGCCAAATAAATCTGTAATGATAAAAAATAAAGTAAAAGTAATAATAATTCTTATTGTACACATTTTATAGACATCTAAAGCGGTGTAAAAGGCTACATTACAGAAGAATGCTAAATGCAGATATTTTAATAAAAAAAACAGCCATGACAAGATTTGACAAAGAAGACAGGAAATACCTCCAAACAGTGGTGGACGAAGTACTCAGCAGTAGTACTTAAAGTAAAAGTATTAATACTCATAGTCAAATCTTACTCAACTACAAGTAAATTTTACTGTCAAAAATCTACTCAAGTTAAAATACTGAAGTACTTGCTTTTCAAAATACTTAAGTATTTAAAATTACAAATAAAATGCTCTAATGCACAGTAAATGTTGCAGTGTTAAAGTAACACTCAAGAGTACAGTTGGTCACACTCTGAATAAGTGTGGGACCAAATGTATTCTCAAAGTGTTACTTTAACATTGCAACATTTACTGTATAATATTACATCCTTGTATAATTCTAAAAAAAACTTGTAACTTTCAGAAACCAACTGATGTGTTGACTCATCCTACTTAACAACATGGCAATAACTAACCCTTTAATAACATTTCTTTTAACTATAAATGATACCGGCCCTGAATTTTTCACATTTGTATCGTCATTACACCTCTAAAACAGCGGTGTCCAAATTCAATCGTAAAGGCTGCTATCTTGCATGTTTTAGGTTTTCTCCCATGAGGCATTTCCTATGTCTTCAGCATCTCAAAGTTCTGCATATTGCTGCTGATAAGCTGCCTTAGAGATAACTAAAACATCCAGGACATCTGTTCTTAAGGGTTAACTTTGTGAGAAACATTGTGTGGCCAACCGCATTATTAAGAGAAAATCAACCGTGGCTTACAAAGATAAGCCGAGCCAAAAGGAACAAGTAACGACTAGTTTCCTAAAAATGTAGTAGAAAGTTCAATATTTTACTTTGAAATATAGTAAAGTGAAAGTTATTAGTTTCCCCCGCAAAAAACTTACTCAAGTGAAGATAATCAGAAAATGTACTTAAGTACAGTAATCAAGTAAATGAACTCTGTTACTTTGTACCACTGCCTCCAATATCCTTGAACAATGTTTTCTTTTAAAAAGTATTCATATCGGTTTTTTTTTGTTTTTGTTTTTTTAACAGGTACAACAAAAAATTAGTTGGGGCAGATTGACAACCATGTCTTGCATGATATGTAGTTGCATCATAAGTTTTTTTTTTCCATTTTCAGGTTATGAAAACCCAGTCTTAGATCTCTCTGCATAGAAATAACCTTCTCTCCCCATTCATTGGATTCACGCCTGCTATCACTGCTTCTTCCTAAAAACAAGTTTTAGAATTTGAATCTGGAAAGATTCTGCCTTGTTTTCCAAGATTGTGGGCAGCACTTTGCTGTGGTTCCAAACACCAGACAGGTTGCCAAACTAGTCAATGCTTTTTGTATTCAAATGGATGTAGACCCTATAGAGTTTTTACACCTGAATTAAACAGTAATAGGAAAGAAATGTGTATGTGCAGTCACGTCTGCTTTCCTAAATGGCTCTGTCCAATAAAATCAGGATACTGTACTGTTAAATGCTAAAGTTTTCTGCAGACCGATGAGTCACAGCTGATGCTGAAGCTGCAGTGACATTTATGGATCAGACAGAGGCAGTGCCAGATTGAGAAATTTAAGGTCGCCCTGCTTGATCAAATGACTTTAGCCTCAATGAAATTTTATTGTCTGAGTCATCGCGATGCATGCGTGCTGCCTTTTTACCTGTAGATTTGCCCTTAACAGACCTCTTTGTGTGTGTGGGGGTGGGTCGGTACGTGGATTGGGTGTGTGCAGTAGTCTAGCTGTAAAAAAAAAAGAATGGGAATGGTAATTTTACTCAATATAGTCTATTCGCCTAAAGCAACATGCATGGTACGGTTATTACATGTCAGGTATGCCGGTCATTGACCTTGACCAAGGCACCTTGAACTAGAACTGCAGTCAGTCCCTGGACTGACATGGCTATCACTGCGCTTACATAGTTAGAGACATATGCAAAGGACTGATCTTATTTATTTTGCTAAGGCTACTCGCCCACAGCCCGCCAAATGTTTAAACGGCAATATTATTGCTATTACTGTCAATATATAGTAGAACTTTTACACATTCTGTATTAAAATGTCACAGGGGATGGTATGGGGGGGATGAATTTTAAGATTTTTTTAAGAAGGGGGATGCCATCCCCTCTCAACTCGAGTACTAGGTGTATGTGTGTGCGTGTTCGTTGTTGTGGAGAATGCTTGTGTATTTCTGGATTTAATCACTCTGGATAACTGCCTTTTATTTATCTGTTTGTGAAAAAAACATGCACAATACCTCATCTTTTGGCATAAATCATTAGCACCTTTGTGCTAATGACTATAATGTTTAAATGTCATGTTTAGCTTCTTTTATTTTCTAATGATTGCTCCAGCAGTGGACCTTTTTTCACCAAGCTGCTTGGTAATTTCCCTGTAGCCCATTCCAACCTTGTGTACAATTTTGACTCTAGTGTCTTTGGACAGCTCTTTGGTCTTGGCCATGTTGGTAGTTGGATTCTTACTGATTGTATGGGGTGGACAGGTGTCTTTGTACAGCTAATGACCTCAAACAGGTGCATCTAATTTAGAATAATAAATGGAGTGGAAGTGGACATTTAGAAAGCAGACTAACGGGTCTTTGAAGGTCAGAATTCCAGCTGAAAAACAGGTGTTCAAGTACTTATTTGCAGCTAGATCATTCAAATAAATAGTTAAAAATCATACATTTTTTGGATTATTTCTCTCACAGTGGACATGCACCTATAATGACAATTTCAGACCCCTGCATGATTTCTATTTGGGAGAACTTGCAAAATAGCTGGATGTTCAAATACTTATTTCCCTCACTGTTAGAAACAGCATAAAATTGAAATAACAAACAGATGAGAACATACCTTAACCCTCGTACCAAAGTTACTGATAGCAGTCACCCAATAAAATTAAAAAGACAATCTCATTTGCCTGAGGATAATAAAACACCACCTTTACCCTCAAGGGATAAAAAACACAACTATTTTCAATGTAGGTTCCTTGAAAGAGAAATAAGCATAAATTGAGGCCTACATCTTGGATAAATATGTTATATTGACAATAATGGAGGTGGAAACTACAAACCTGTTTCTATGTTATACCAGAATAAAACTGCATGAATGTTGATGCATATTGTAAGTGTACCAGAAACTAACATTGTAAACATGCATTAAAAGTCACATCACATGGTCTGCTTTTGAGTCGCTCCTGTTTTTTATTTTATTTTATTTTATTTAGTCTTTGTCTCCATCTAGTGGACAAATAAAAGAAAAAAACCTTCTCTCCGATTGGCCTAATTTGCGATGTGCTTCTTTCTGATTGGCTCTTAAAGCCATACCGTGACTTTTGAGTTTCCGTACAGGAACAAACAACAGTTAAATATTTTCTGGCATTGCTTAAGTAAAATATTAATTTATATTTATTACATTTATTCAACAAATATTTTTCTTTGCGCTTTTGACATTTTGGGGATTATCTACTAAAAGCATAAGTGTTGGAGCTGTATAAACACGGAGGGGTTCTTGTTTCTTGTCGGAAGAGAAAGGCTAAAGGAGTTTGGAACCCCGAAGTTGAACATAGAGCTTCCCCTCGATGCTGTTTTGACAAAATGTTTGGCTTTAACACATTTCTAAGGCCAACATTTGTCTTCCTGTTAGTGAAGTGTTGCCTGGTTAGTTGTGATATAACGGACGGGAACGCGGAACATCTTAAGAGGGAGCACTCACTGACAAAGCCTTACCAAGGTAAGGAAAGCTAACCAACCAGCCGAACTCTGTCTGTTTTCCTCTCTATCGTCGGTTTCAAAAAGTTTTCAGTGATCTCGCCAGCTCAAATTGACACATTTCTGACAATGTGCATCTGCCATAGCTTTTTTCAAATTACAAGGGAAAAGATAGATATTCTGAAACATCTGCAAATCTAGTTCTCGATTGCTTGACTTGAAGCCTGCTAAATCCTTTGCAGGTCGTCCAGAACATTCCCCATTGGAAAATTACCCCTGCCATTTATCTCCTAAAGCTTTAAGGCAGATATTTCATCCAAAAAGTTTGATTTAACTACTTCCTATATCCCTGGATTGCTATTTTGTTGTCCCAGGTATGATAAAAGCCAGGTGTTCGACTAAAACTCATCTAACTAGTGAACATAACATGATTGTAGATTGTAATTTATTTGAAGAAATGCATTTTTGGGCTTTATTTAAGTTGAGTTGACAAATGAAATGCAGAGTGTTCTTCTATATTTTTGCCACTATTGTATATAATGAGGGTAAAGGTTCCTAAAAACAAATTATATTATCTTCTTGACTCAAACTTAGATTTCAGTTTTATTTTACTTTAGCCTTCAGAATATTTAAAGTGAAGTTCACTGATCTGGTACCTAACAATCATGATAGTGATTTTACTTTTTAGTTTTGCCTGCTTTCATACATGCACCCCTGTATTGGCCTCCTGTAGAAGCCTTGAGGTTGTTGATCATGATAAGCAACTGACTTGCATCCTTACCTGCAGGTGCCTGAAGCAATGCAGGAAAACCTCTCATGCTTTGGAAATCTAGTCTGCATACGTGTAAGGCTGTGCAAACAGTCATTAAATTGCAGTGCAAACACAGACAGCTCGTTTAAACACCAGCAGTATGAGGTGGCGTTATAAAATAACTCGCTCAAACAATTGTTGTATTTATGCAGTATTGTCTCCGTTTGCATATTTTATTTCTTAGATCTGCCATGTTTAAAGTTTTCATGAACAGTAGTTACTTCAGTCAGTTTAAGAGGAATCAAATCCAGGATTTGCATTGTGCATGTTTAGCCATGTGAGGCACTAAGTGTTTTTTTTATTTTTTTTTTCTTCTGATATTTTAAGGTTGTGTGCAAATTTAATGACTGCAAAAGTAATGAATTGTTCCTTTTAGAAGTTTTGATCGCCTCATATTTCTCTTAAGGTGTTGGAAGTCAGTGGGATTTCTGGGGAAGCACACTGGTGACAAGCTCATATGTCCGACTTACTCCAGATGAGAGAAGCAAGCAGGGATCCATATGGAATACTGTGGTGAGGAAGATTGAATGTATGCTGGTGGAAATAATGAAATTGGATGATTGTTTCACTCCATGACTCTGATCACTTGGAGTCATTAAAAATCCAAGGTCCAAGCATCCAAACCAATCAGGGCAGCAGGCACACTCCAACAAATTGTACATTCTAGAAGAATTTTGTTTGAATATAAATTATTAAGTAGACCAAAGCATCATAATTATCATTACTTCAAAACCCAATAAACATTCTCATGATTTAATTATTAAGATCTCTTCATGTAGCCAGACTTTTAAGGTTTTGCAAATCTATCATTGATCTGATTTGTCTGCTCTGACCAAAATGAAGAAAAATTCTACTCCTAAGAAGGTCTATAAAAAAAAAAACTATCTGAAAAAGCAGTAAAGGAAATTGTTAATAAATAGTTGGGTGGGGTGGAGTAGAACCAGGCCAAGTGGAGCGGGTGGAAAATTATGGTAAATTTGGTACATGTCATTGGTTGAATTTTTCTGTGGTGTACCATTTGATAAACTTTGTTAAAAGATGGCTCAATCAATCCGCCTTATGATTTGTCAAAAATGCATAAAATCTCTCCCACATCCTGTTAAACAATCTTCATCAACTCAAAGTGACACTGGGGATATCGAAAGTCTCTGGTGCAAATAAAACCATCTCCTTACTGCATTTGTTTATGCATTCAAAATTTCTGTTCCTTCTCACTTTGTTTATGTAAATTCCTTGTAGCCTTGTTACCTGAAGGACTGGGAGCTGCATGTGCAGTTTAAAGTTCACGGATCAGGAAAGAAGAATCTCCATGGAGACGGCATTGCCATCTGGTACACGAAGGATAGACTCCATCCAGGTAAATCTTAATCCCAATTCCTGTGTTTGCCCAGATTCTCTGGAAGTAAATGGTTCAGGAGACCTGAACAACACGCTTTACACTACATTCAGTCCTTCATCCACACACTGGTTATGGCAAACTACATTGTAGCCACAGCTGCCCTGGGGCTCACTGACAGAAGCGAGGCTGCCGTATACTGTCGCCACCAGGCCCTCTGACCACTATCAGTAAGCGATGCAGATGAAGTGTCTTGCCCAAGGACACAACGACAATGAAAGCCGGAGCCAGGGCTCGAACTGACAACGGAACTGGCAACCCTCCGGATGCAGCGCATACTCCTTCATCTGATCCCACTGTCACCAACTTACAGTTCAGTGTGCCATGTTTGGATTTAGTGGAACGCAAAATCCACAATTACTTCCAAATGTAGCAATTCACAGAACAGTGATTTTTTTTCCCTTTCTTTTTGTGCTCTATAGTTTTAAATGCATATTTTTATCATTTTATTTTTTTTCTTGCAATGATGGTCTTAAAAAAATGACATCCATCCATCCATCCATCCATCCATCCATCCATCCATCCATCCATCCATCCATCCATCCATCCATCCATCCATCCATCCATCCATCTTGAGATTAGGTGGCCTGCTTTGATGCCCCTCTGGAGCTAAAGAACCACTACAGGAGATTGGAGGACAACTGTGCCCTTGCGTAGCAATATTAACCAAAAACATTCCTTTAACCTCGCTGAAATGGTTCTTCATCAGTTTCTTCCTTCAGGGCGACGTCTTAGAGTCCCTGCCTGTTGATTAACCGCTATAAGAACTCATTTGTTCCGCTTTCCATTAAGGCAATAAACAGTATCAAGCAGTAAATTGTGGAATAGGCAATGGTATTCAAAATTTAAACTAAACTGACATTATTTTTTTTAATTTATTCATTTTGTCATATAACAGATTTTTTAAAGAAGGGTTTTTATAAAAAAAAAAAAAAGTCAAATTTTTTTATGGTGACTGTAATGTCACACGCTTCCTTGTGTATTTTATTCATTGTCTTATAATGAAATTTCTATAGCAGTCTTTTTATGTGTGAATGCAGTGTGACACATACTTTGGACTATGTAGCAGCCAGAGTCTGTTCCCATATAAAATTTATTTTGGGACAAAAAGTTAATCTAATCTAAACAATGCTCTTTAGCTACACTGTATACTTAGATACCATGTAAATAATTTGGTCCAGGCAAAACAAACACATTTGGTGTTAACACACCTTTAGGGAATGGCAAAGAATATTTCTAACACTAGACTGGACATAAAGTGCAGATTTTTTTTAGATTTAACACATTTACTATCCTTCTGACAAAATCTGTTCCCAAGCAAATCGTTTGTTGGAGGAGCGATTCAGCAGGGCAGCTGCACAAGTTAGACATGTTTAAGTTGCATCACATCTCTTGCTAAGCCAAAAGCAAAAATTAAATAAAGTAACCCCTTTTTAATCTGCAGCGTACACCAAACAGACAGTTTTACAAATTAAAGCAGGATTTTAAGATGTATGCAGTAAATTGTAAAAATATGGGGTTGGGGCATGTAGACAGGACTATAGGACATCTATTTGTACAGTTTCTTTGCGAAACAGGTTGGTTTAAGGGCAAGTAGTCAATTTAAAAAGTTAAAGGGATGAAAAATTGTAGTTGTGGTAGAGTATAGTGACTTTATCAGGAATTGTAAATAATTATTTTAGAAGATGTAACAATCTTAATTCAAGATTCCATCATAATGCAATGTCCATTTCCATTGTTTCAGTTTCTTCTCATATTTGCTGTTCAGTGTGTGTGTTGTCCGCTCATATCTCACCCTCATGTCTGCCTCCACCTTAGGCCCAGTGTTTGGAAACCAAGATCAGTTTCATGGCCTGGCTATTTTTTTGGACACCTTCCGCAATGACCTCCATGGAATGGATGTGAGTGTGGCTCTAGTGGATTGATCTGCTTGTTTCTTTTCAGGGCCTGTGTTTTCCAACAATGCTCACTTCCACGGACTGGCCGTTTTTATAGATACTTACTCTAATGATGAGTCGACGGATGTGAGTGGTTCCTGTTGGCATGCTCTTAGCTGTTGTTTCAGTGCTGAGTTTAATGTCTTTATTGTTAAGAAGCATGTTGTCAGAATTCAGAGCATTTCAACATTTAAATCCCAGAATGATTTTAACATGTGTACTACTTCAGAAATTATACATGTGCAGAAATTGAATGGGAAATTTTACATTGTCACATTCTTGTTGAAATCTATACAGTAAATTGGATGATCTATAAATTGCATTTATAATTTCATTTTAAAAGCACTGCATCCTTTTATTTGACCATTTGATCTGAAACCATGAGCTTAGTTTTGCATGCTAAAAAAAGTTTTTAGTGTTGCAAAACCACATTTTATGATTTAAGGAGTCCTGTTGTATTGTTTTATACACACCTGGTCTATTGCATCCATTTGTGTCAGTTTTTGTTTTGTTTTGTAGTTTTGTTGCAGTGAATCTTTAATATTTTGTATCTGATCGTTTGTTTGTTACCAGCGCTCCTTCCCTTACATCTCAGCTATGGTGAACAATGGCACAGTGAATTATGATCATGGGAAAGATGGCCGTTCATCGGAGCTTGGAGGCTGCTCAGCTGACATCCGAAACCGAGACTTTGACACATACCTTGCTATCCGTTATTCCAGAGGAAGATTGACTGTGAGTATTGACCCGGAAAGGTGTCTTTTTTTTAAAAGTAGCATAACTTGCATTTTTTATTTTTATAATGTACTATTTATATCACTCGTCACCTATAGGAAATAAAACACAACAAACGTTCAAACTGTTCAAAGAGCCATATTGGACCAAAAAAAACAAAAACCTAGCTGTCTGGAGCCACAAAAATGTAAAAGTCTTATATAAGCCTTGTATAGCAACACAGACTCTAATTATATTAGCCAACTATAGAAAAGGAATACATGGGACTAAAAATATAATAAGCACTTATGATTAAATGTTTATACTGGAGTAAATGTCCCATCATGTGACGACTCTGCTCAGTTCAAATCCCATTGTAGCACAAGGTGAGGAAGGAGCAGTGAACGCTCTCACTGCGTGGAGTTCACTGCTCGCCGCTTTACCGCCCTTCACCTTGTGGTTTGTGTGTATTAGGTTTTGTTGCATTAATCAAATTATGGAAACGCAACAAAGAAGTTGTTTTTTGGTGTTATTTTTTATTTTGAAGATTTGGGGAAAAATGGAAGAAAATTCACCTACCTGCATTAGAGCGCTACCTATTCGATCTGTGAACGGTTATCCATGTCTTGCGACGACACTAGCAGCAGTAGTGGAGTTTGGAGATGCAATCTACTTCTTAAATCTATCTTTGATCCTAATCTATCTTTGAAACTTTTTCTCTCACTCCCAACTTTGTGATTGTCTGCAAATTTAGCATGCCTTCCCGGTAAATGCCTTTTCAAGTTATTCCCTTTTATTTCTTGGCAACTTCTTAATACAAAGCAAACATGCAGGCAATCCTTTCACATTAGTAATGAAAGCAAATGATTCGGTCCATTCTTCTTTGAATCCTCTGTTTTCATCAGATATCTTCCCTTTTTTCCCTTTGGGATTCATGGCCCGAGACACACTCGCCGATTGGTTTACAACAGCCATGACCCAAATCTCCCTTAACAGAAATGTTAACATTTATTGTTTAAATGTATTTATTATTATTTATTATACAAATTTTTACAGCTTTGGAAAACATAATGAATGTTTGTTTGACCTCCTGCACACCATATTAAAGCAAAAAAAAAATCTATGTTTTTCCATTTTCATAAATGTTTGAAAAAGCTCCAGGGAGCTGCAAGGTGGGCATTTCAGAGCTGCAGGTTGCCGACCCCTGTCAAAAAAATGGTCTATACGACTAACTTTCTCACCTTCTGTTACCGTTTTGGTCTTTCCTCCAAAATGTGTGCACATGCATTTTGAGCAGTTTTATTATCCATTTATTGATAACTATAAGGAGCTTCTATAGTTAATTAATGTATTATTTCAATCAAGGGTAAGCGATAATTTAAATGTTTGTCAAATTATTATAACTGACAGCAACTTTAACGTGTTTTAACACACTTTAAGTATTGGTCACAAAAACAGCAGAATATTTCTAAGGAAAGCCTTTAGAATAAACCAATCAACATTTAATGAGATATTTTGTACCCTTTTAATGGAAAATATCTTTAAAATAGCATTTTTCTTTGACCCTTTAAGACTAAAAAATAGTTCCTCAGCAGTTCAGAGCTAATCCTTCCCTATTTTACTGAATCTGAATGTACTTTTGGTCAGAAGTTCCCGGGCTTTTCTGCTGATGTCATCAAGCACCTATATGTTTCATGAGTCCAAGCTAGGTAACAATCAAAGCGTTATATTCAAGATGGAGTTTGCGGATACTCAGAAGTGACCAGCATCCAGCTCAACTCAGACGCCAATGGTAACTCCACCTAAGGTGAAAAAAAACTAAAACTAAGTATGAGCGCAAGGTGAGAAAACAGGCAAAACAGTGCGGTAGTTTTGTGTCTTTGCCATAGGTGGCAGTATAAGGAAACTGTAATGTTTCTTTAACTACTAATTCTTCTCACCCAGGCAAAAATACACGTTAAAAGGTAAATAAAACAGAGTTGTTACTCTTGGTTGGACCAAGGGGGTGGGGGAAATTTGTGAACTGGTTCTGCATTTTGGGCACGGGTACCAGTGAAGATTACTTTTCAGCATTGGGTCCTCATTCAGTCCAGGGTTTTCAGCCCAGGCTTCTTCTAAAGACTGGGAAGCAGCCAGTTAACCAGCAACATCTGACCCCGGCTCCAGCGTTTCCACCAGGTGGAAAGTGATGGCCAGCTAGAATACTGGAGTCTCTCCTTTCATGGTTGAAAGCCTGAGGGGAAGAGGGCGCATACTTCCCGCAGTTGGGTTTAAAAACCCACTGTTCCAGGATGTGACATCAGAGAGACGGGCTGTATCAAAATGCAGTTGTCTTTTGATCTTGTGACACATCGGGTGAGGGACAGCACGTTTCCTTTCCAAGTTTGTTTTTGATTGATCACAAGCTTTGTGTCAAATGTGACATACACATGTTTCAGGCCTCATTTAGCGTGTTACTTGATGAATCAGATCCCTGATCTGTTTCGGATCAATGTACTGTTAATGAGCCAAGCTGCAGCTGGTAAACAAGGCCTCAGATTTCCCTCTTGGAAAGGAGTGTAAAAACTCCGGTCTTCAAAGGGGTGATGTACTGTAGCTTTAAATCAACGCTCCTGCATCAAATGACTGAACGCTTCCTCGGCCCAATAACTTGATGACCTCAGTATATGACGCAAATCAGTTCAAGTAGACGCAGCTCTAGATCTAGTGGAACACTGAAAAAAATAAAAGTATTCAGATTAATTTCTTTTGAAGTGAAAAAGGTTTTTCTTTTGCCTGCTGTCCAAACAAAATACGTTTGTTTAAAACTAAACATGTTTAGCTTTGGGTTTAAAATGACAATTTTTGCCGATTTGTCATTAAGACCCAAGAACCCCATCTTTAGTCTTGTACCCAAAATATCTAATATTATAGGCATTATTTTGTTTCAGGTGATGGTTGATGTGGACGACAAGAACGAGTGGAAAGAGTGCATCGACATTGGAGGTGTGCGTCTCCCTACTGGATATTACTTTGGTGCATCAGCAGCAACTGGAGACCTCTCAGGTAATGACAGAGCTGGGAAGTATAATAGTGAGGAAAGTGAATCTCACTTAAATTAACTTAAAAGCAATTCTCTGAAACTTTCACTTTTTTTTTTTTGGGCCAAAAAGCAATTAGATATTTATATTTTGAAAGTAATATCCAACGATCTTTCATATCCTTCATTGTGCCAGATAATCATGACATCATCTCTATGAAGCTGTACCAGCTGATGGTGGACCACACCCCAGAGGAAGAGAACTTGGACTGGACTAAAATCGAGCCCAGTGTCAACCTTTTTAAGTCCCCCAAAGGTAGGTTAGGATTTCATGGTAGGAAGTTGGGAGAAAAAGGAAAACTTTATACCAGTTAACATGTTTTCCATTAACTGTCAAGTGGTATCAGTGGTGCATACATACTCTTATTCATTATAGTATTCTTGTGTCTCATTCAAACCCACAAATGCTCACTTCAGTGCAGAGATTGGGATTCATAAAAAACAAACTTGAAAATGTGAGGTCCCTCACACCAACTGTGACTCATATGCACGTTTCTTAGAGAGGAGACTGGGGGTAACAGAAGCTGGTGTGCATCATCAATTTTCTCTGAGATTTATTGTCTCACCATATAAAACTTTAATCTAGATTGATTTACCAGATCCGAAACTGTAGCGCAGTATATGCCAGCACTGCTGAGTCGACTTGACACCAATAAAATAGATAAATTCTGCACATATTTCAATGTTTCCTACTCATCACCTTCCTCTCTGGTGATTAATGGGGTGAGTCGTACAGATGAATGTACTTATGTAACAATCACAGAGATTGCTGTAAACATTTAAATACCCCATACCAACGATGCCAAATGGTGTGCAGCTGCTGATTTAACAAGTACTTGTTTTAGTTAATTACAACTGTAATTCACGATCGTTACTAGTGTAAATCACATCCATCATGGCGATTCGATTCAGTATCGATTTCCTGACACGTTTCGATTATTTTCGATACTCAAGAATACACCATGATTCGATTCCATTAATCGATTAATTTAAAAAAATTTTTTTTTTTTTTACACCTTACAGGCTAAACAAAGTTTCAAGTTTGAAATAAATCAATGAAAGCTGTAATATCGTTAAGCATTTTTTTTTTAGAAACAACAGCAAATAACAGAAGTAGAAAAGTTGCATCAAAAAATACTGCAAAAATACTGCACAAAATCAGTGCGATGAGTGCAATGCAATACCTCGGCTCCAGAGTGTGGACGTCCCCGCCCCCTTGAGAGACGCTCCGCTGCACCTCTCCCAAATTGTAACTGACCGCAAACAGTGCCGCAGACAGGAGGCCGGCTTGTTTTGTTTTTATGACCGAAATTGCGGAAAACAATTTGTGAAGTTTGACCCACTAGAAGAGTGAGGTGCACGAGAACGCTAGGACCCTTTTTCCACCTGGATCTCCGATATTTTTGGCCCTCATGTCCCTCCGTCATCGGACTAAACTTGCCCCCACTCCCTCGCCGCCTCTGCCGTATCTAGACCCACAGCGTGTAGCTCAGACCGCGCTTCAATTTTCAGCATAATTTAAAAATGTCTGTGTCAAGCTTGCTGCAACACACTGCTGTAAGAGTATAACCAGGAAGCCAGGTAGGATGGCAAAATAGGTTTAGCGCCACCGCAGCACGGGAGGGAGAATTACGCCCAGGAGCAAATGGATACAAATAGACCGGAGGGGAAAAAAAAAAAAAAACATGAATCGATTATCTTGCGGACGTGTCGATGCATCGGATCGTCGGCTGTTGCATCGATACAAAACGATTCTTATTTACACCCGTAATCGTCACAAGCGTGAATTAGTATGAAACATTTTCAACAATTTATCAATAAATCTGATACATCACAGCCTGAAATAAGCGCCATGCTGCCTGGATGTCCTTGCACCAGAATCTGAATGCGACATTGACTTCCCATCTCATACACCAACAACCTGGTTAAACTGTGGTTGCCATTGCTAATCATTAAAAGACTTTTAGCCGCTTGCTCATTTAAACACACAATGATGCTAATGCTGTGCTTTGCATGGACCATTTATGGTTTAATATGGGCTGAAGAAGGAAGAACCTGAAGTGGACCCTTGGATATAAACTACCAGAGAAACCTGTGATCTCTACAGGACCATGACTTGGTTTTGTGTGTGCAAGAAGGCTGTGGATTAATAGAATGCAACTGCAGTTAGATATGTAGTACTGGTAGTGAAATAAAATGTTAAGCCAAGAGTAGAATAGCACAAAGACTGCATTGAAATTGTTAAATTTCCCCTCTTTTGCAGACAACATTGATGATCCTACTGGAAACTTCCGTGGCACGCCCCTCACAGGTTGGAAGGTGTTCCTGCTTCTGCTGTGTGCTCTGCTTGGAATCGTTGTGTGTGCAGTGGTGGGAGCTGTGGTTTTCCAGAAGAGACAGGAGAGAAACAAGAGGTTCTACTGAACATAGATGCAACATAGACATTTACAATGACAGAACGAGCACATACAATGTGAAATTTTGCTGAAGATTGTACAAATGTTTATAACTTTTAAAGCACTGAGTAACAAATGAATATCGGTAATGAAAAGGTGGAGGATGCTTGTTGATGTCAACATTTACCCTGAATGGATTTTTTTTTCCTTTTATGTATCCTCATGCTTTGATAGCAGGGCAAAAGTAGATTTGAACATGGAATTCAGTAAAGAATTGTCACCACATGCCTTTTGGTTAATCTGGTGTCTCCAGCATCTTTGGGGAATGGGGAAATTTTGATAGATTTTTTTCCTTTTATTTTGTCTTCCAATCATGTTGTTTTTGCATGTAGTACCAGGCTAAAAAATGATCATTCAAAATAAGATCAACCAATATGTTGGCCTGCAACCTTGATTTACAGCAGAAGAAAAAATTGTGTTTATCATTTTTTGGGATGGGGGGGGGGATAATACTGTTCTCCACAATATCAGAATCTTCCTCTTTGTCGTTTGGAGTTTGTTTTGTCTCATTTCTGTCTTTTTGGGATTCTGATTTTTTTTTTCTTTTCTATCAGTATCAAAAGGTGATGCTATAAGATCCACAGTTCTTAGTTGGTCTTCTTTTTATGTATGTTTCACACTTAGAAATGCAGTTATGTATAATGATTTAATCGTTTTCTGGAAAATAATTTAATCTAGAACTAAAAAAAAAAAAGAAGAAGAAGAATTTGGCTTAAAAAAAGAAACATTGAGCAGGTTAATGAATAATCCTATTTTGAGTTTCGTTTACATTTCAAGTCTTTTTTTACATGGAATATCCTTTGCTGCTGTCAAGTTGTAATAATCACACAGACATGTCATATATTCTCTTTACAATCAGCCTCTGCTAACAGCTATGAATTAAAAACTGCTATGTGCTTTGGAAGTTTTGAGGTAATTTAATGTGTAGATATGTCAGCTGTGATTTTTTTTTTCTTTTTTTTTTTAAATGAGATGTATCGGCATTTGGATTTCAGTTTTTTTTTTCTTTTTAAGGCTCTCTGGAAAAAAAAGTATTAGTTAATCTTCAGTTTTAATGAAAAGCCAATTTTCTATCCAAAACCCTAAATCAATATTTCTGTTGTGAGGCCATTAACTAGACATGTTCTTTTTTTCTTCATTTAAATGTTTACTGTGAGCATCTTACAGTTAGCATCTACATGTTTTTTTTTTTAAAGTACCAGAATTATTCATGAAAAAGGAGTAAAAAAAACCTCTCTGAAGTGACCTACAGTGTTAATTATGACCTACCAGCTAAATGTATGAAAGGTTAGATTGAGGATTTAACATTTTACCTAACAATGTTCACAGTTCATCTTTAATTTTGACTCTGGATATTTTCCCTGCACAGTCAGCTCCATTTGTGATGAAACTTGAAGCAGCTTCCTCATCAGAAATAAAAGTGATAAAAAGTTACTATTTTTCATTAAGTGGTTCTTAAGTGAAAATGAGATGATTACAAATTCATTTCTTTGTATTTCTGTTCTGTAGCTATGTAAAACTATGGGCTTGGTCTAGTTTAGGTACAATGATGCTCTGTAGGGCTAGTTTACAGGACAGTAAAGAAATCCAGACTTGGTGTTTTAAAAAAAAAAACACTTTTTCATGTCCAGGGTAAAATCTCTTGTGCTAATTTTCAGCTTGGTTATAACTATCTCACGAAGCTGTGTAAATCTTCTCTACTAGAGGTGCTAGGCCTGTTTAGGTCTACATAGGTTCAGGTTTAGCAACCTTGAAAGCAACTGGCAACACTGCACTGTTGCAAAAGTAAACAGTGTCTCCCTACATTTGTGATAGCAGATGGAGAAGTCGGGGAGTTAATCATTTATATTAAATCCTTCACCTGACAAAAAAAAAAAGAAAAGAACTTTGAAATGAAAAATCATTCAATATATCTCAAACTAATAATTGGATCAAAATGTCAACAGTTTTTGTTTTTTAATGAGCAATCGTGTAAAGTTTTCGACTACCTTACATTTTCTTCTTTGATTTGAACCTTCCCGATAGTGGCCGCCCAACCTATTAGCTCAAATATCCTATCAATCACTCGGAAAGTTACAATGAAACCCTAAGCAAAAATCGAATGCAACACAGACCTGGCTCCTGTTTTACAGAGTTTGGAAATTAAATGTTATCTGTGACCTGTTGCCAATGCATTTAAAGGGACTCCAGATCATATCTTTTGTAGTAGACGCAACTGTGGGGATTAGAACATTGGAATGTATGCGTTTTCCTGCATTAATTCTCTAATAGAATAATCTATATTGCAAAACAGGTTAACCCTGGCACATTTCAATACCTCCAGATGTCTTATTGTAAAGTAGCAGCCTAATTACAAAGAGATATAAATAAGGAATATATGTAGGAATATACTGTAAAATGGAACTAAAACTGAATAACTATCTGTTAATCTCTATACTATATTGCTTACGTTTAACGTGCAATTCCATTTTCCGTCACGCTTATCCCATGCCATGGGGTCATAAGGGCTGCAGGTGCCTATCTCTGTCTACAGGCAAGAGGCGGGGTACACCCTGGACAAGTCGCCAGTCCATCGCAGGGCAACATGGAGACAAACAGCACAAACAACTATTCATTCACACACAAGAAGAATTTATAGAAGCCAATTAACCTAACAGTCCTTTTTTTGGACTGTTGGAGGAAGCAGGAGTACCCAGAGAGAAACCACACATGTTTAGGGAGAACATGCAAACTCCATGCAGAAAGACCTCGAGTCTAGAATCAAACCCAGAACCTTCTTGCTGCAAGGCAGCAGTGCTACCCACTGTTCCAATTTACAGCCCTACATTTAACATGAAAAGTTAAAAAAAATATCTGATGCAATAAGATTCTCTAAACCATCAATTTTGTTTGTATATAGTGACAGATTTCCCTCTGTAACGAAAACAGTCAAAATCATTCAGTTATTTCTAATCAATTTCAAGCATAATTATTACCATAGATATCAAATCAGTGCCATAAAATATTTCAATTCAGTAAATTTAAAATTGACAAAGAACAATTTCCATACAACTAATAAAAATATATTATTCAGAACACGGTACACCACATGTCAACTAGAATGCACATATACTTAAATTTTCTCCCATTTCGTCACATTGTAAGATTTCTTTTAACCACTAGATGGCAATGTTGTATTTTATTAGATCATTTTGAAGACTTACAAATCTTTGCTCTCCTCTCTGTAGCTCTAATATATTAGTAGACCAAACGTCATAATTGCACCCTCTTTTGGGCTCATGAGGCTTGTCCTGCTCTTTTCATACATTCACTGTTTATTTTAATAATGCTGCTGTAGGTTGTGCAGGATCATTGTTGGAGAACTGTCCAAGGCTGAGCATCTATTTAACCTTGGAAGCTCAACACAGAAAGAAATCACGTGATTGTAAATGTAGGGTTCCAGTTCTTTACTTTATATTCTTGCATAACCTCTCCTGATCTCTGGCATTAACAGGTCTTTCTTCAACCAGATTTACATTTACTACATTCATAACTCTGAAGGTCTTTATTGAATTTTCATAATGCAACCTAGCACACAAATAATCCACCATCCAATTAATGAGCCGAATAGATATTCAGCAACTCATGACAAAAAGAGAGAGATGAAGGCAGCACTTTATGTAGTCCATGGTTCATGCTTCCCACTTTTATACCTGGAAGCAATGATTGACTGGAAACCTGACTGACAGTCGAAGCTTTTGCCTCGGGTTGACGGCTTAAACCTTTCCACCTGAGCCCCAGTGACATTTTACTCCAAGCACAGAAGACATGCATGCCATATCCATATCTGTAACTCAAGGTTATTTTTTATTTTTCATGAATCCCTGCATCAAGCAGTAATACACGGTAAGAAATACGTATTTCCTAAATATCAATAATTGATTTTGAATAGGTCAAAGTATGAGAGCCAGATTCTGTTTACTAGTAATGACATCCAATAAAGAAACACTTTGTTTTTAATTGCAGTTCCATAGCCTGTGAAGTTGTTAAGTTGTCAGGCTGAAATGCCTGTATTGTGAGAGGCTGAGAGACACTTTGTAGTTTTGTAAACTGTTGAAAGTTTTGTATCATTTGAAATCCTCTTAATTGTCTTTGTTCTTTGCAACTTTTCTAAAAAAAAAAAAAAAAAAACTGGAATTGGTGTATTTAGTTCTGAATTATGTTTTTTGGTCGTGATAAACTGTTAAAACCGTCAGAGATGCAGACTGATGAGTCTTAGCAGTGCTCCTTGCTGTGAACTCAGCTCTATGCACTGCGGTACTCTGTAAAACATACATCTGTATCCTATGCAGATAGAGCAGGATTCCTCTGTTTGTTAATACACACTTTCAGTACTTAGGTGAAGTCTACTTAAAGAGCAAAGCTCTGACTAAAGGCAAGAAATTGTCGATGTTTTGAAAGCTTTTATTTAAGGGAATTTTAAAGGCAGAAAAAGTATAATCCAAAGTGTTCGATAAACTTTTTCTCAAGGACTGTTGAACGTTTCTTTTAAAACATTTTCTAAAGGCTGTTCGAAGTCACCCAGGAAACGAAGAGAAAGAAGTTACTGTATTTCTAAGATTTTATGCTCTTTTCTAAAGCGGTCCACTGCAAGTTGTCAACATATTTTAACTTGAGATGTGATTTTGTTAGAAACTTTTTTACGTCGCTAGATAGACTAAGCTTCATCCTTTTTATTCTGACAGTGATGACAGAGTTTACTGCAGTTCACAAAGAGACTCGCCCAAAGAGACAAACGTACGAGGGCTGCAAACGTTAGGGCCGCAAACCATAAGTTGCCTTCTTTAAATGCCTAAATTTTAAAACAGACTATTGATAAAAAATGCTTCGAATTTTTCAATCAAAATTCTAATTTCATACAAAATGGCTTGACAGTTTCAGTAAACTATAAGAAAATATTACAATTCCTTTAAGATTTGTATTTATATATAAAAGGATCAAGTTTGGACTTGATTGTTTGATTGTTGTATCAACATAACTAATGCTACAAGTATAACTTTACCTGTGTTTGCTCTCATACACCTTAGCAATTCAATTTCATTTTAATTCAATTTATTTATGTAGTTCCAATTCAAAACATGTGTAATCTAACAGCACTTTACAGAGACAATTCAACCAGATCATACAGTCAGATTGTTTC